ACACACATATATATAATGACCATTATACTGTGATCAGCGAAGCAATTGTCGGACGAAACTATATCAGTATATTCTGCTTTCGGTCGTGTATATAAAGTTACATAAACATAAACATTTGTCAAAAACACCAGATTTTAGTTTTACTAATTACAGAAATCGGTATAAGGGTCCTTGTTCTTCGAATCCAATAACCCAAACCAAACCATTCGATTTCTGCGCTAGACGTTTCGTGTCTTTCACGTATAACGCGAGATCTCCCAGTGAAAATTCAAGATCACATATTAAATTCAATATAACTATGTACTCAAACTCCACACAATGAATTTATTTCATCATCATATATTCAATCATGTGGTTTCAATGTCATGGAGTTCAGTACATTTATGCCAGTAATCGTCCTATATAGAATACACTATCAGGGGGTAATTCTTCTTCTCCGAGGTTCTCCACACGTGTCAGGGGGGGGGGGAATCTCGTCTGGTCTCTCTATCGCGTCCCTTTGAGGTACGGGATCAGGAAAGTCGCTTAAACTGTACAGTCAAATAAGACACACACAACGAAATACGTTTCATAAGACACAGCGCCCTGGGGAAAAGTCCCCAAGATTATCGCAAGGCTGACCCAAGACTGCCTCTAGACTGCGTCTCAAGACTGCCTTAGACTCTCCAGGACTGGACTGCATCTGTTCTTCGTATACTCGCCAAGACCAACTAAAAACAACTTTATTCACTTTCAAAACCTTAACCAATTACAAAGCAGTAAAAAGACTCTAGGGCGTAACCTTCAATCATAAAGCCAATCACACTAAGTACTGAACACGTAATATCTTTTGATTAGTCGTTCACTACATTAATAACTGCGAATACTAACTGTCAGAAATAGTAGTCCGAATAGCGACGGTTATCTCGTAATTAGTTCCAAATCACTGAGTCGAGTTCCGTCCAGAACCTCGCCTAAACGATGACAGACATAACACAGCCATTCGCTAATAATCGGCTAATTAAGTCTATCAACAGATACGCAAAAACAAATTCATCACAACACTCTGGTTGAAAATTGCAGTGCATTGACCGTTTGTTCTTTATCATCTCCAATTAAGATCTCTCTAGTTCATGTAAAATTAATATGCATCAGTTTTATATGCGTTGTGCACGGCGTATCGAACCCGGAAAGTTGCGTCGATCCTTTAAAGCTGACCTGTACAGTTTCATCAAAGCTTTTTGGAATTTGTTGATACCGTATTGATACAAATGTATACATGTGAAATGAACTAGCTATCGAATTTTTAAAACTAGAAATATTAACTAAAATGTGACAGTATTGTCATATAATGAATAAATCCGAACGAGGTCCAAGAGACCAAGTATCAAATCAAGCTAGTCGGTACTATAAATTGCATAATGATTTGAGACGACCACCGCCCTCTAGAATGTTTTATATCATTATCATGATTTGGTATTTTAGGCGCATTAAATATTTCAGGGAGCGTGAACAAAAAAAACGCATTTGTTAATACATTATTAAGACCGTTTAATTTTCAATATATGTTACAATAAATGCTTTAACGGAACAACTAAATTGAATACTCAAACAACATTAAAATACAACAAAAAATTCCTAACTTATCATAAGGTTTTTTCTCGATTCTGACAATAGTATCATGTGATGCATTGTGCCAGGCACTAATCGTCGAACACGCCCTCATTGGCAGAGTTCGGAGTTTCACGATTTCATGTGACTGTTTCACTATTGACTGCACAAGAGCTTGTCAATCCCGGCAAGCCCAGCCCATGACCGACTTGAAGCACGAAGTGCGAGAAAACCCTTTAATGTCATCATCCTCAGCGCCATGAATAAATTATTATCCCAATTTTAAGCAGTTATGAACGGTTTGGCTTTTCACCAAATCGACGCTTGTGGTTGATCTTGTTTACGCCCGATACAGACCTGAGAATTACTAATAGATCGTTGAATATGTTGACAATAAACTTAGGTCAATTGGATAAGATAACAAATATCGACCTTTTACCCTTTCACCTCACCACGTGACATGCGCAGTGTCATCGTTGTTAAACTTTGTATTCTAGCCATATCAACTCAGTAATGTTGGTTACAGGTGCTATGATTGGTCATGCTGGCTTTTTGGTGTATCCAATCATATCTTGAATATCAGATATGCAAGTTATTCTGCGAGAGTCTATGTTGAACACTGCTGAAATGGCCCGGCGTATCAGTTTGTATTACACGAGGAATCCCCAACCCAAAATGTGCATTTTCGAATCACACTTTATTGCAAAGAATTCTACATTTTCTTCGCCTGATTCATGAATCTCCCCTGTGACGTATCCTTCATATACCAATCAATAAAATATATACAATTAAAAAAATAGTCCCGCATATATAAAAGTTGACCAAACCTGTGACTAGTAGTAAACGATATCCGTTGAACACGAATTAACAACAAATAAATTACAAATTCCTAGAACTACACTACATACGAACACATGCTAATATTTCAAATAACAGTAAATGTAAAGTCATTTCATTCGAAATGTATCATCTTGACGTAGCTAGTTGTACAAGGACGCGACCAATTCTCACACATCGCGGGATTTGAGAGTAATGAGCTGCGCTTTTGGTACATTTGTATAATTATTCTTTTATAATATATTTATACTACTGAAAAATCTACCTTAGACGTAAATGTACGCCGAGATTTCGAGGAGAACGAGAGAGCCACGACACTTGATTTTTTTACTCTCGAATAGTGTTTAATTGTCTCACGTGATCACGTCTATATTTCGCAGTTAAAAAAATCCTTGGTATTTGAAGCAGTGAACGCTATGACGTGAAAGAATGGAACGTTATTGGAGGGGAAAAGCCTCGTGGCCCCCAACGAGATCTCAGCGGCCATTTTCATCTGTACATCATTAAGTCTTAACCTATGTATATATTCAATGGCTCAGTATACGTAAACTTAGAATCGACGACAAAACGCAGCTCATACCCATTTCATGTTAACATCATCTTAGTTCTTTGTTTGACAAATGTGAAGAGTTTTCTTCTCGGACGCTGAACACAACATCCTTCTAAAACATTCATTCATTGGCGCCATGTACTGTAATTTTTCAACGGTTATCACATTTCTGTTCGGTTTTCGTCACTCCTTGTCTACATGTGCAAGAAATAAAACATACATTAATGATCACCTATATTATTTGAATCTTTACATCATCAATTGTTTTTCACAGGGCAATGGCACTTATCGCAATCAAATTGATACGAGTTTTTGCTGACGGAAGCATACGTTTTGGTAACACCAACTACCCAACAGTTTGCCTCCCTAATAATGACCGATTCATTGCCGTACTTTCTGCCACTGTGAACAAAGGGTGTTAGCCAGGCTAGTCCGCCACCAAACGAACTGGCAGCTTTGATTTTGGACTGGCAACTTTTCCCCATTTTTCTGTTTTTTTCTTATTGTTCTGATAATTTGACCAAAATATATTCAAAACCCTCTAAATTGTTCATGAAGTTAAATTGTTTTGGACTGGCAGTTGCCATCAAGAGTTGCATAGTTCAAGTGGAGCAAGTTATATGGTCATTACATTTAAGCTCAGAATGTTAATATTTCCGGTTATGATACCGCGCTTGTTTTAACAATGGTGTTCATTAAATGATTGTTTATTTTCTTATTGGTATAGACACTTTCTTGAAATAAAAACCTCGAAATGACAATGACATTGTGATACCCACCTGGGATTTCGTAGATATTCGAGGAATCATCTTTTTCTCTGTACTCGAAAGCTTCATTTACTTCTGTAAAAAGTAAAGAATAATCAGTTGATTCACAATAAAATGACGAGTTTGTTGAATAAATAAAGAAAAACCTACATTTTACGACAAGCTAGGCATAAATTTTAAGTTAAACATGTTCATCTTCGTCATACCTTTTAAGAAAGCCTTTGTCAACTAGTCATCTCTATGTACAGCGCCATTGAACATTACCTTGTTTTGGATACTGGCGCTTTATAAATTACG